TTGGTGGGGAATAGGTTAAATAGTTGATGGGGATTAAGGATGGCATTTGCTTTGATGAGCACCGGGTAGTGTATGGAATTATTGAATCACTGTATTGTACACATGAAACTAATATTCACTGTCTGTTAACTGGACTATACTTTTTTTAATGTTTATTTATTTTGAGAGACATAGTGCATGTATGAGCAGGGAAGGTGCAGAAATAGAGAATCCCAAGCAGGGTCTGTGTTATTAATATGAAGTTCGACGCCAGGCTTGATCTTAGGAACCATGAGATCATGACCTGAGATAAAATCAAGTCAGATACCTAACCAAGTAAGCCACCCAGGTGCCCCATACCTAAATAAAAACTTTAAGGGATGCCTGAGTGGCTCAGTCAGTTAAGAGTCTGACTTCAGCTCAGGTCATGATCTCATGGTTGCTGAATTCAAGCTCCAAGTTGGGCTCTGTACTGATAGCTCCAAGCCTGGAGCCTACTTCAGATTCTGTCTCCCTCTCTCTTTGCCCTTCTCCCCCTCTTGTGCTCTGTCTGTCTCTCTCCCTCTCTCATAAATACACTAACGTTTAAAAAAAATTTTTTTAATAAAATACCAAAAACAATGCTTTGTTTTACCTCATAGTAAATTTGTGATTAACTATGATTTTCAACACAGACAACTGTGTGAACAAATAAGAGACCACTTTATATGCACATTTACTGTTATCAAATACTTCACTATAGATGTAACTGTATATAAATATAATGATGCTGAAATAAATTAAGCTTCAAAATAAGATTTATCTAAAAACACAAAAATAGAAGTCCAACTTTGAGGCTTGCTACAAGCTACAATTTGGCAATTTTAGTGAAAAGCTTGCCCAAGATTAGTTACATCAAAATTCCCATACTGAACAAAAAATATGGACTTGAACAAACATTAAAATGGACCAAAACATGGAAACTGTTCCAGTGACAATTTGGGAGTACAAAAGGCACTTGCAAGACATGACAAATCATCAGAAGATAATTTGTTGAGCAGCAATAATTGGCATTCTAGTGAAAAAGCAGCTCGGGAAGGGCGACTTACAGAATACGAACAACTCATATCACAGATTGAGAACAAGCTTCGTCTTGGAAATGGGTCAACTTTCAAGTACCAGAATTAACAAAGAATAAAACTGAACAGTAACCAATCATTTTGAAACTACTGAGTTTTTATTTTTACTCATCCTCTGGTCATGTCTAGAAATCTGCTATTTCAGTATTATACTTTCCCACACTCTAGAAAAATATACTATGTGGTTAGCACAGCACTGTAAGAGAACATGTCTAGCTTCAACTGTGTGGTCACTCTTCATCAGGCCACACTCAGATTCGGGTTGGCTGAATTTTATAAGCCACAGGCTATCCTGGCTAGAAGAGCACTAATGAATCTAGTATCCAATACAGTACTCAGCATGAGTGTCTCACAATTCAGAGGTGCCAAGTGGCCATGCCCCAGAGCCAAGTCAGACTTAAAGACAAAAAAGAGCTGGGTTTAAATTGTGCATCTTGCTCTTACTGTGTAACCGAGAGAAAAGTACTAAATCTAAACCTCTGGTTAATGCATCTCAAAAAGGAGGGGGGGGGGATATTATCTCTATTACAGCATTATAGAAAAAAAAAATGAGATAACGTATTTAAATGTTAGGAGTGCCACCTATTCCAAATCCTGGCTTTCAATTTTGCATTAAGGACATACATGTGATTTTATATAATCTCTAAGAAAAAAAATATATATAATATAGGGAGAGATAAAGGGGGTCTCAATATGCACCTGTCAGAAATAGGCAAAGTGGTATGGTTGGAGAAAAGGGGCCGCTTGTCCTCATCATTTAAATTTTTTCTACCCAAAGGAAAAAAACATAGCCATACCCTACAACATACAAGTCCATTCAGTTAAACTCAGTGTTCCAGGCCACATAAGAAAAAAGAAGAGACATCCTCTCATCTTCACAGAATCAATGTAAAAGAAGTTGACACCAAGTTATGAGCAATGCTGAAATCCAAGATTGCCTAAAATAGCAAATTTAATCATTGTTTTCATATATAAATTTGGTGGTAAAATCAGACCTGAACTTGGACTAGAGGCTCTACACTCTTTACTCCTGTACTGGCTATAAACATTTATGCATTATAATTTCCATTATGTGGCAAGGTCCTTAATCCCCACTACTGATGTGACTTGTAAGGTACTGCACAAACTTCTGGGAAAAAAAATCAATATTCCAAATTTCAAAACACATGCAGTCCAAAAATTCCAGAGAAGGGAGTTTGAACAATCTCTGCATTAGGAAAAAAAGAGAAAATAGCTGTATTAAGAGATAAGCTACCAAAACTTGTAGAAGGTATAGAAACTTGTAGTTTAAGAATGTATTTTCTATCCTTTTAAAATCAGTACTTGCTTAGAACCCTGACTATCCTCCAATATGGACACAGTGACACAACTTATATCATTAAATTCTTGGAAAACCAAGAGATTGTACACATGGAATGCTTTTAAAACAAGGTATGACACAAAGTAAGGACCCAAGAAACACGGTGCTGTAGCAGTGCCTAGAAATTTACTTTGAACATTTGCTAGGAAAAGACAAATGGGGAGTAGGTAGCTCAATCTGCTATATGTCATATATTATTTTGCAATCAATCTTATTTTTAAAAATCCAAGGGTATTCGTTTGCCTGTGTCACACCTGTTTGCTTCTCCTATCAGCCTCAGAGCTAGATTTAGGGCCAGTCACAAAGGTAGGCAGCCATCTCAGGTAAGCAAACAAGCATCTGGAGCTGAGAAAGCACATAATATTTCAAGTTCTTAAGGCAATAAAAATATTATCTGAAAAGAAATGACCTATGAAAGACTGAAGAGCAGCCTAGAGGAATGTTTCCAGAATTTAACATACAAACCAGCCAGCTGGAGTTTTTGTTAAAACGCATATTCTGATTGAATGGGGCAGGGGTCACACCTTCTGGTAACCTCAACACCACTGATCTAGAAGGCCACACTGACAGTAGGGGAGGCCCCAAAGCCATGACCCTCCAAGCGTATCTGCAACATCACAGTCTCCTGGCATGTTAGAAATGCCAACCCTAGAGAGAAGGAAAACTTTGGAAATCATGGATCAGCTCTTTACATCCAATCACATTAGCTTCTCTGAGAATAAATGAATACTTTTAAATATTTTAAAAATAAAAATAGGGGCACCAGGATGGCTCAGTCGGTTAAGCATCCGACTTCAACTCAGGTCATGATCTCATAGTTGGTAGGTTCGAACCCTGAGTCAAGCTCTATGCTCACGGCTTTGGATTCTGTGTCTTCCTCTCTTTCTGCCCCTCCCCAACTCATGCTCTGTCTCTGTTTCTCTCAAAATAAACAAACATTAAGTTTAATGAAAATAAAAATAAAAATAGCATATTAAAACATGTACGTAAATAAGAAAAGCAATGTCTCTCTGTATACAATTTCCAAAAGTATAGTCCCTACAATTACATTTCACGTGTAGGCTTTTTTATTATAATAATCCTGTTCTGATAAACAATAGGCAAATATAATGTGTAGAATCCTCAGTAGGACCACTGATCAACTACTCACAAAATAATTCATGTCCATTTTACCTAGGTAACAAAGGTATGACTGTGTAAGGAAACCAGATTAGGATTCTATTTCCTTGCGCTGAGAGTGTAAGTAACCACATCATGGCTGAGCCAGCTTCTCCACAGTAATGTTTATACAGTGCCTGCTTATTGTGTAAATACATGTCGACATTTTGATTTATAGCTACAGACTATCTGTTTGCATACACAGATATACGGATGTATAAATAATGATACATTAATGGTTTGAAACACAATATTCTTGAAGGACAAAAACCTTGGGGGTAAATTACAAACATACAATGTCATGACTAGAGAAAAGTTTTCAGTTCTATGAATGGGAAGTCAGTTGGTAATTCAAAATTTGGGGAAAACCTATTTAACCAACTGACAAATTCAGAATTCAGATTCAGTATTTTTTTTTTCAGCTTATAAGTGTGAATAGACGTTCACCTCTCCACCAAAACCTAAGCACACAGGTCTTTATTTCGAAAGAGTCAGTAAAGGACTGTTGAGCACCACACCTGCTTTAGGATTAGCACCATCATGTTCACTAGAACCACAGATTGTTAACAGTGATTCTCTCAGGACACATCTTGGATGTTGCGTGGGGGGAAGGGAAGAGTACTTCTGGCGTCTAGTGAATACAGGCCAGACATGCTGTTGAACAACCTACCACAGACCAGTCTCCACCACAAACAATTATCTGGCCTCAAACACCAAGGGTGCTGGAGTTAAGAAATGCAGATTTAAATGATGGAGAATGCAAAGATACAGAATCAATGGCTTTGATGCGTTATCAATGCATTCTTAGTACGATGTTTAGCACAACAACAAGAATTTGTTGATAATTAAATAAACTACCTTGGAGTAGATGAGAGATGAAAGACAATGATAAAGGGGTTATTACACATGTAGTATCCAAATTCCAAAGCAAAATGACAGTTATTGTCAAAACTGAAAAGGAATTTAACACATCATCTAGCTTTATTTCTCTATTTGGGGGAAAAATATCTTCATATGAAACATGATATATAATATACTAACGTGGCAGTGTTATAGAGGGTGGGGGAAAAGCAGGCCTATTAGTAAAAATAAGTATCCTAAATTAATTAAGATCAGTTTTTACTTCTAATAGTGTCAGGGTCCCATACTTTTTGTAAGTATTTCCTTTATGAAAATTAAAACTAATGTGACGTAAATAATAAGTGATATTTCACAAGCAGGAAACACAAAATATAATTGTTTTCCAAAAACACCAAATCACAGACCTCTGTGGCCTACAGGCATTTATACTTCTGAGAATTCTGGGATTTCAAATGTCATGAGAAATTCTGAACTAGCTTACATTTTTGAAACACAGGAACTGACAGTCACAAGGCCAAACATACCCTTAATAATCGATTCAGCTGCATACAGATCTCGTTTGTAGGTCACCTAAAGGACAAATAAACGTCATTAGAGTTAACAGACCAGGAAGGAATGTGAGGGCAATAAAACTATGCCCCAAAGGAAACTATTTTGGAGAAACTATAAACACATACTATGGACAATTTATAAATTATAACATTAGCAAGTTCAGAAAAATATATTCTATTTCTGCAAACTGCTTAATATTGGATTTTAGATCTTTAAATTGAGATATTATGTGGCAGTGGTTACCAAAATCTTATTAATATAACTCAAATATTATTTCCAACACAATGTGGTAGTGTTTAAATAAAAGCACTGGCACTACTGGTCATTACTGTTTCATAGTAAAGTTTTATGGTGTAAGGAAGGAAGAAAAGTATATGTAACAAAAATCACAAAACTGCATTTTTAGTTCAAATGAGATGATTCTCCAAGATTAATTCACATTAAGAGGTGCCTGGGTGGCTCAGCTGGCTACATGTCCGACTTTGTTCAGGTCATGAGCTTGTGAGTCACAAGTTTGAGACCTGCATTGGGTTCTGTACTGAGATGCCTAGAGCCTAGAGCCTACAGCCTGCCTGTGTGTGCGTGTGTGTGTGTGTGTGTGTCCCTTCCCCATTCATACTCTCTCAAAAATAAGTAAAAAGACATTAAAAAATGATTAGCTCACATTAAAAGGGACTTCCTTCTGAGCTGAGTAGATCTTTATGTAGATAAGGTTCACCTTTCAAGTTTTTTATTAATACAGGGATCTGATACAGACTAGAGGGTACCACCATGTACCTAAGAACGGTCATTATCTTTCTTTAAGAACATGCATACATACTACTTCTAATTATAAGCTGCTATAGTTCTATAGCAGATACTTCCATGAGCTCAAGTACAGACTATGTCAGGTATATGGCACTGCAGAATTAGTTCTTATAGCAGAACTGAAAAACCTAAGATAATGTACCATGTTGTTAAATACTATAATCTTAGTACTTTACCATTAAAGTATCCAGATGATTATGATGAAAATGGTCTAAAAACACAATTTGAAAAATCCTGGACAAATTAGTACAATTCTGTATCTGTTCTACATACTTTTTTCCTTCATATTATCTCATAACTAGACTTGTATAGAAACTTTGTTCAGCCCAAGTTGCTCAGGGCACTTTTACTCAAAATAGATTCCCCTGCTATGCCTACATCCTGGTAGGTAAATCCTGATGCAAAACTATACCCTACAGTCCAGAATTAAAGTAGTAGCTAACAGGGTTGCCTTGGTGGCTCAGTCAGTTGAGTGACCAACTTTGGCTAAGTCATGATCTCATGCTTCATGGGTTTCAGTCAGCAATCAGGCTCTCACTGACAGTGAGGAGCCTACCTGGGCTTCTCTCTCTCTGCTCATTCCCCACTGGTTCTCTCTCTCTCTCTCTCTCTCTCTTTCAAATAAACTTAAACAAAATAAAGTAGTGGCTAACATGAGATAGAAAGCTGCTTGAGCCTTCAACTAAACTATTGAAGTTAAATATGGTGTTGCTACATTATGGCCAAAACAAGTATATGCCAACCAAAACTAGTACTATAGTTTCTGATCCACAATAGAATTCCATTATCTGGATAGAAAACAGAAAACAGACGTTTAAAGGTTCATGTTATGTATTCACAAAATTAAACATTATGTTGATCTCATTCATTCATTCAACAAATATTTATCAAATAATTACTATACTGTAGGTCCTATTCTAAGTTTTGGGAATAGAATGATTAAAAGAATAAGGAAAATGCCTTAACTTGTGGAAACAACATCTGGGTGGAGAAATTTTCTTAGAAGAATTGCATCAGGTAAGTTTTTCTTCTGTGTTCTTGAAAACCCAAAGTTAACTAGGTATCTAAAATCAGGCTTCAATATTTGTAATTCAAATAAGACATTAATGGTTTTCTTTAATAATTTTCTGCTGTGTAGGACAAACTTAGACCTGAACTAGCAAGAGGCCTAATTACCATTATCCATTTTGTATTCTTTCCTGCTCTAAGGAATAAAACTGCATTCAAAATTAAAATAGAGGAACTGTAAAAGTACCTTATACTATTTTTTCAAGAGGACTTTACTGACACATTTTTAAAGTTACAGACAGATTGGTTTCAAATCCTAAAATCCCTTTTCTAGCCTTTCTGCAAGACTTAACAGTTCTGCATTGCAGTCAATCTTAGTAAGACACACATTTTTTATCACCTAAAAGTCCTTTCTCCACTATTTTTAAATCATTAAGTGTATCAACAGCAAAGCCTCTTCAAATTCCTTTTGTCTACTCTTTCTTGCAGGCTGTGGATACTGACTATACACAGATTAAAGCTTTTATTTTTTAACTAATATCTTCTACATAGTGCCTTATTTTTTTTAATAGTTTATTGTCAAGTTGGTTTCCATATAACACCCAATGCTCATCCCAACAAGTGCTCTCCCCCATGCCCATCACCCCCCTTCCCCTCTCCCCCACCCCTATCAGTCCTCAGTTTGTTCTCAGCATTCAAGAGTCTCTCATGGTTTGCCTCCCTTCCTCTCCCCCACTATTTTTCCCCTTCTTCTCCCCCATGGTCCTCTGTTAAATTTCTCTTAATCCTCCTATACATGCAAACATATGCTATCTGTCCTTCTCTACCTGACTTATTTCCCTCAGCATAACACCCTCAAGTTGCATCCACATTGCTACACATGGCCAGATTTCATTCTTTCTCATTACCACGTAGTATTCCATGGTATAGATAAACCACATCTTCTTGATCCATTCATCAGTTGATGGACACTTAGGCTCCTCCCATGTTTTGGCTATTGTTGAGAGTGCTGCTACGAACATTGGGGTCCATGTACCCCTATGCCTCAGCACTCCTGTATCCCTTGGGTAAATTCCTAGCAGTGCTATTGCTGGGTCCTAGGGGAGTTCTAGTGTTAATTTTTTGAGGAACCTCCACACTGTTTTCCAGAGGGGCTGTACCAGTTTACATTCCCACCAACAGTGTAGGAGGGTGCACATTTCCCCACATCCTCGCCAACATCTAGAGTCTCCTGATTTATTCATTTTAGCCACTCTGACTGGCGTGAGGTGGTATCAAAACCACACTCAAAACCACATACTGCCTTATATTTAATACTTGAACTCCACTTCTCACCAAACACGGATTTAATGAAAAAATAAAATGTTTCTCACAAACTCGTAAAATACTGCATTTAAAAATAGCTTTGTTTTTTTTTTTTCCCAATTGAAACAGTTAACGTACTTCAAAGGGAACAGTACTTGAAAATGCTGTAATTCTGAACTGATGAGTTATACTTTTTCTGTCAAACTTTTACAGTAATATGGGTTGCCCTTTCCTTATTTTTTTAGTTTTCACAAGTTTATTAGATCAGTTTTGAAGTTGATTTCCTTCTGTCAACATGATCTGTAGTTTTCCTTTGACCTTGCACAATGTGTTATGAAAATTCATTAGTTAAAAAAAAAAAAAATCAACCCTTACATGAATCAGAGGATTGAAGCTCTCTTCCATCACTAATTTTCACACTGCTCAGCAGAGGCTCAGGAGCCGCCTGAAGACCAGTGCAGGTGATCTGTGTGCCCAAGGCTGAGTGCCCCACATATGCCCTACTCCTCGTTAGGTAAGCTCCATTTTTCTCTTTTTTCTTTGTGCTTCTGTGCAATATTTCATCTGGGCTAAGTGTGTAACTAAAAGAAAAAAACACTCAATAGAAGAGAAACTTAAAACTCAGAGCCAGAGTGACAGTGTTCTGACTCTGTGTCCAGAGCTACCTCTGCTGCCTCCAGATGGGTTACAGAGATCACCACCACCACACCTCCTCGTGTTGCTCAGTGTTGACACTCAACATAGAAATTTCTCAGAGCCTAGTTCGGTTGGCCATCATCTTACATAAATTAGACAATACGCAATCCCCATCTTTTACCTCGTAAGGAAATGAGCATGTAACTCCAGTAATTAGAAGCCAGAAAACACTTTATTTTAAAAATATAGAATGGTAGGTTATTAGACACAAATTTCAATTTGGGGATGTATTGATTTTATTCATTTAATCAATTAGGTTTATCTAGAAAATACTCCTTCCTTACACTGGATGACTGGATAAAAGAACTTTGAAAAGAAACAATGTCACCACATTGTATTTTTGAAATTAAAAAGAAGTAAGATTATTTTGTTTCTTTTGTTTTTAAACAAAGATGCCATAATACTTGGATCTAAGAAAGAAAAGAAAGAAAAAGAAAGAAAGAAAGAAAGGAAGAAAGAAAGGAAGGAAGGAAGGAAGGAAGGAAGGAAGGAAGGAAGAAAGAAGAAAGAAAGAAGAAAGAAAGAAGAAAGAAAGAAAGAAAGAAAGAAAGAAAGAAAGAAAGAAAGAAAGAAAGAAAGATCCCATCAAAAGGATTCCTGAAGAGTCAGTTATTCCAGTAATATGTGATGACTCAAACTTCAGAAACTCCTCCTAAACAAGTATTTTCAGACAATGGAACACAGTTGAATTTCTTTAATACCTGGTTATAAATCTGTGCCTTAAGGATAGTTCTAACATTTAAAAACAAAAAGCCCATTCAATTAGTTCTGTGTAGTGTAGGCAGCATGTATTTAAATATATTGGGACAAAAATACGGTACCATTATAAACTAAAAGAATGGAAGTTTTATGTCTACTAGATGAAATTTTGTCAAAATAATAGTCTGTTGTTCACTAAGGTCTGGCAAGGCACAGGCCCTCAAGAGAAAGGAAGGGAGCCAATCCCTATCCCAGAAATCAGTCCTGCTCTCTTCTGTGATTGGCTAGCCTTTGTCCTGGGGCTTAGGGGACATCCTGTACCCTGCACGGTCATTTAAATTAACGTTTCCTCCAGGCCACAAAGGAGGTACTCTGCAAGAGAGGTGGCCTAACTCTCAGTGTCTACTTCTTACATTTACTTTTACCTACAAAGTATGTAAAATACAAAATAACCCTCTCGGGATTTCTGGAGGCAGTTCCAGTAGTCCTATGGGCAGGCATGAGGCATCCTAGTCACTCCTCATGCCATTGTGGTAGTCAACAAACTGGCTTCTGAGGGGGACAGGAAGGTATCCTGCATCTGTGATTCAGAACCCTCCCTTGCCTTACTTTTTTATGGCCATAAAATGCCTCCTGAAATGCATTTCCCATCCTGTCAAGATTTATGAATCACATGCCAGGCAGTTGGTTCGGCCATCCGATTCCAGTACCAGTTTTAGCTTTCTTGTACTAAATATTCTTTCAGATCCAAATTTTTAAAAAATGGTAGCATCTTTGGTGCTAGTGTAGAATTAGAACACTAAGTTCTCAGTGTAGATTCCATTGCTTTGGATTAAAGAGAAAGTGAAAAACTCTTTTAGCCATACAAAATGCCAAGACCTCAAAGTTAAATGAGAAGCCTTTATACTAAAGACAGTATGATGTCATCCAGATGCTAAATAGGGTGACACCAGCTAGGAAAACATCACAAAAAAGAAAAAAGGGGGGGGGGCAGCAGGGAGGAAGACAATGAGAGACAGGAGGAAGAGGAAACAGAGAACCTACAGCAACTGCAGTATTTGTATTCCAAATAATTCCACCTCAACAGAAGAAATGTGGTATCTATAAAAGACTTCCTCACTGCCATTTAAGACTTTTTGCCCAATCCATTGTGTTAAGGACCCTTTTAGAATCCAAGATCCCATTATTCAAACATTCTAAAGAAAGGGGCTCCCCCATCCCTCCGGGTTTATAAACTGATACTGTAAAGCTGATCCCTCTGGGCCTAAGCCTGTGGAATGTTTATTAGTTTCCCAGGGTTACCATAACCAAGTACCACAAACTGGGTGGCTTTGAGCTTGATCTCTGACAGTACTGGAAGCAGGAAGTCCCAAAACCAGGTGTCATTAGGGCCACATCCCCCTCTGAAAGCTTGAAGTATCAAAGAATGCTTCAGGCCTCTGCCCACTGGCTTTTCTTTGCTTATAGATGCAGCACTCCTCTCTAGGCCTCCATAGTCAGTCACTGGCACTCTCCCTTTAGCTCTCTCCCTTCTGCTATTCTTCACTGCTGAATTCAGGGCCTACTTGATGCCAGTAGAACCCCATCTTAACTTTATTAGATCTATAAAGATGCTTTTTTTTTTTTAATGTTTATTTATTTTGAGAGAGAGAGAGAGCAAGCTGACAAGCAGGGGAGGGGCAGAGTGAGGGAGGTTGGTGGGAGGTGGAGGGAGGATCGCAAGCTGGCTTCCTGTGGTGAGCACAGAGCCTGAAGCAGGGCTTAAACTCACAAACCTTGAGATTGTCACCTGACCTGAAATCAAGAGTCAGATGGTCAAGTGACTGAACCACCCATGTGCCCCTGTCAAGTTGCTTTCCAAATAAGGTCTCATTCCCAAGTGCAGGAGTTAAGTTAGAACTTGAACACAGGTTTGTGGGGGATACAATCTAACTGCTAACAGCATTTTGAAATGACTCACCAGAGGAATGATGAGAAGCCCTCGGCAAGGCCAATCCCTGACTCTGGGCACAGACACTAGGTGCCCATGAAAGGGAAACTGAGCACCAAGACGTGAGAGCTAAAACTGTGCTGCTGGAGAAGGCAGTGAAAGAGGACTTTGATTTTGCAATTTTTTTAATTGAAATAAATTCATGAGGGACAAGTGGAAAATTTCAAGAGCAATGTGTTACTTTCCTTTCATCTGCAGATCTCAGGGTGTCTGACAAGTTTCAAAAAGGCTCTGAACACCCATAGAGATAGATCACCATGTCCCCTAAGACATCAAAAATGAGGTCAGACAAATATCATATGTTTGCACGTATAGGAGGATTAAGAGGAAATTAACTGAGAAACAAGGGGGAGAAGAAGGGGGGAAATGGTGGGGGAAAGGGAGAGGCAAACCATGAGAGACTCTTGAATGCTAACAAAAACTGAGGACTGATGGGTGTGGGGGGGGAGGAGGGATGGGCATGGAGGAGGGCACTTGTGGGGATGAGCACTGGGTGTTATGTGGAAACTAATTTGACAATAAACTGCTTGAAAAAAAAAAATGAGGTCAGAGAGTGTTATGGTAACATGTTGTCTGTGAACTTTCACACCCTTCCCTTTGTCTGCAAATGAAGTGAGCACTCAGTCAAAAGGGGTCTTAGCAGAGATGGGAGTCAGCATCTTGAACAAAACATGTGATGGGAAACACCATCGTCCTCACAATATGTTCATCACCATCACAGCGATATAAAGAAAAGAATATACAGAATGAATAAAATATTTGCCTGCTGGGTTGATGACATCTGGATACCCTTAAAAGAACAGTAATCCCACATGGATTTTCTCTACCAGCCAATAATCCAGACATGCCAATATTTTGTAATTTTAGAACATTTTAAGTATATGAGATAATCTTAGCATGCAGCAAGGTTCATCAGTTTACTGTACATAATACCTAATGAACTTATAGGGCTTTCTGGTTTGTCTTCAAGTCAATGAGGAAATATGCTTTTGGATTAATATAATCTTAGAGTTAAAATGAATCTTTCCTAATCAGATTTAGGTGAATGCTTTATCAATTTTCATCCATATTTCAAAAGCAGCAATGCTTTAAAAAAGGTAACAACACTATCCTATTTCAGAATATACTGTTCGACACAATCCCACCTTCATAACAAACAAAAGCCACACTGTGAAACACTCCAGCCTCCACAGGAAGCCTTAGTATCAGAGTGCTATCATCACGTCAGCCCTTCCAAAACAAAGAATTTGTCATTAGGAGTCAAACTTTACTAAATTCAAGAGTCCAACTGCTCACTGGGGCCATCAAGTGGGTCCATTCACCCAGGCCATGGAGTCAGAACTAAGACAGGTATTTCTTCAGCCCAGTTAAGTTGGAGCCACCACCCCAGGGCCCAGAAGGAAATGTTGGTACTGTGGGAAGCAGAGTTGTATTTTTAACGCAAAGCAGTTTAAGGCAACAGAATAGAAGGATATATGGAGAGAGAAGAAAAAAAAAACTGAATAAAACCATCTTATCAGCTAAAGTAGAATTTATTTAGATAAGTCATCTCAAAGTGAATTTTCTTGAAACCATGCAATAGAAATGATACCATACCTTTGATGGCTTAGAAAATCCAGTGAAACTCTTAAGGGCATTAACGTGTACATACATACACACATACATACACTTTTCCTCAAAATACTGTTTCAGTATGAAATAATGTATTTTTATATACTACTACTTCATTTACTGAAGCAGCCTGAAAGTGTTTACACCTACACAATGTGTTCTAGGAATGATATACAAGCACAGCCAAGTTCCAGGACAAAACAGCAACTCCCTTACCTTCCAGAGCTCAGGTGATCCTTCCACAAGTTTGGCTTTAATGTGACCGTATTTTAGAGCCAACTGTAAACACTCAGTTCCAAATTCCAAGTCATAATCACTACACTGGGCAGAAGATGAAAAAAAGAAAGAAGTTTCAAAATATTTTAAGTGAAACTTTTTTTAAATTTCATAATCAATACAGAAAAGATAAGGCCTAGAAAACTCATTAACTCTTAAATCAGCTACTTGCTAATCAAGTTACAGAATAATTGTCCCTGTGCCCTAAAAGTCAAAAAATAAAGAGTGTAGGAAAGTTGTAATCATATGCTTTGAACTTCCTCAAGAGTTTTAGGGATCAAATAAACATAATATAAAAACATTATAAAAAAACATAAATCAAAAGTCCTTTGATTATAAGCTACCTTTCCAACCCTGTTTCTAAACTGCCTCAAAGTATGGCTGAAGATCCCTCTATCTGAATTTTATTTAACAAATATATGTATCCATCAAACTTCAACTTTGATATTTATGATCAACATATTTGCAGGCAGTTTTTGTTCATTTTAATATTTTACTTGTCAACGTATAATTTTTAAAATTTTTTATTTTGATTCTCAACTTGAAAACAGTTAGTATTCCATTATTAGACAAAAATGGAAGGAACTCTCATAAATTTAGGAAAATACAAGCAACATTTTTAAGCATTTCCAGCAAAACCATTAAAATGACTAATACAGTTCAGCTGAATAATACTGAGTGCCTATCATGTCCAAGCTCTGTATCACATTCCAGCTTATCAAGATAAATGAGACATGTATTACGTCCTCAAGGAACTCAACTCTTAAAAATAAGGCTGATCTATAACAAATATTTTCCAACAGAATATGCTAGATGCAACAATGGAAGTATATCTGTAAGTAGACCAGGAGATAAAACACTTAATTCTGTGTAAACCCATCAGAGAAGATCTTTCAAAGGAAATGGTCTCTGATCTCACTCTCAAGACTGACTATACTTGGAGGAGAGAGGGATACCTTTAAGGCAAAAGGTGGCACAGAAACATACAAAATTTCCAGCCATCTGATAAGACTTGGATTTTAGAACAAACATACTCCTGTACGGAAGCCTGCGGGAAGGCCACAAACATCGGTTTGACAGCACGTGTTGTCGGTGCTGTAGTGCTGTACTAGAGATTCCGAAATCCTACTTACAATGCTGTGTGAAGGTAATGGCCGAGAAAATAAAAGCACCAAATGTACAAAATCCCAAGCTGACGAGAATGGTCTCACCTTACATCTTCCATTCTGATACACTTTACATGACATATTTCTTCCACATTATAATCACTGAAAAAGTATTACCAACATTAGGCATATTCAAGTAAATGAATGTGTTAAACTTCTTTGTACTTGCAGCATCTGCAGTCTCACCTAGCAGTATGTGAGATCTGTGTACAGTCAACAGAATGCTCTCTTTAATATGTGGTTAAATCCCAAAGATGACCAGTGATAGCCCTTTTCTTGACTCTTTTCAGAAGCAAGATACTTCCCACATTTGTGGAAAGCCGTAAATGTGCTCACGAAGTGCACATTGAGAGGAGACCATAGGAACAGGCTCTCCCTCCTGTCTGATGTGGTGCAAAGAGAATTACTGGATGCTGGACTCCTGCAGCCACATGCTGCACCATCCAACATGCAAGAGCCTACATATCGTATGAAGTCTTTAGGATTCCAGCCGTTAGGGCCAATGAGAAACACAGAAAATTCTGGGTCAGGTGTATAAGAAATATATACTGAAAATGGAGCCCGAGCCAACCTGACAGAAAGAAGAGCCTGAACTTGTCATTCATTGTTATAGACTACTATTACAAATATTTATGAGGCTTCTGGTAATCTCTGCAGTAAAATGTACTTTTGCAGTAAATTCAAAACCATGCATGCTTAATGACCAATTAAATTGTGAATTCCTACGTTTCTCACTAACAATGATGAGGATTTCTACTTTTGTGTCACGCATGGAAAGCTGGAAGAAATAATGTTCTTTTCTGAAGAAAAATCAGGTAAGCTACAAAAGCTTAACTTTTCTTGAACCCACCAGAGCTAAGGTCACAAGAGGACCAAGCAGCCTCCTGGTCAAGGACAAAGGGAACACCATCGCAGGCTTACCGAGAGCACAACAAAGAGCAGAGACACCAGACGCCATACAAGCAGGTAAGAAGTAGAGAATTTCAACACATCGCTAAGTACTAAGTGGCGGTGAACAGGAGAAACAGAACTCCTGGGAGCCACATACTCAACTGAAATTTTCACACCCCTGCAGGCTCCCCTGGAGCAAACTACTACTATGAGCTCATGAATAGTGTACTATTATTTGAAGGTGACTGTGACTACACTTACATTAGAACGTCAAGGCATACACTAAATATTTTCAAGTTAAAAACTAAGAAATCAATAGTGATAAGAGAATTATTAAAAATAAGAAATATAAAGGCAGGCAGAAAAAGAAAAACACAATAGATAGAGTAGAAAACAACTAGCCCAATGGTCAATTTTTAAATCAAGAAAGCTAATCAGTGTATAATTGCTGAAAATGTTGATCTTTATTATTCAGCATGGGAATCATAGTGATATCACTGGTCATGTAACATACACATGCTGACAGTAAGAACCCTCTGCCTCTCTCAACTTGCAGCCTAAAAGAATGTCAAACAATATTCTTCCTAGGCAGAAGCCCTGAGGACACTGTTCTCAGAGACCCCCAAATATGGTTCATCTCAGTTATATTAGAATGAATCTCAAAATCAACAAGCTATACCCACAAAACCCATGACAAATAGTCTCCAACACATAAATATGACCAGAAAAACCAGATTTAACTGAAAACCAACATGTGCACAAAATCTAAAGTCAAAAGCAAAAATTAAAATCTTTTAGAGGAATGATACAATAAAAAAAGATTTGAACATAAGTGAGAAAGTGTTTATCACCATAACATAGTGTAATATTTAAAAGGAAGGAAAATAAAGAAAAAAAGTGACCACAAAGTCCAATATGGTGTAAAAAAAAAAAGTCAGAAGGAAAGAACACAGAAAACTAAGACAAAGATCAAGTATTTCAAAAAAAATTACAGTAATAAAGAACATGAGTTTCCAAATTAAAAAGTTCCATGGAATGTAGAAGCTAATGAATGAAAATACACCAAACTCAATAAACAGCAGCAACAAAAAGTCTCCTGTAAAGCAGGAACCCAAATTGGTTGAGACAAAATAGCAAGCATGAAAATTAGAAAAACAAAGCAATAGTTTCTCCATAATTTTGAAGGTAATGATTGTCAACATAAAACCATACTTCAAAAAAAAAAAAAACGTTTTTATCACGTGTGAGAAAAGAATATGGATTTCTACAAACACTGAAGGTCAAAACATAATTTTAGTTCCTTTACGTTCTCTTTCATTCTGAATGTCACAGGCTTTGTCTTTTTAGAGCAGTTTTAGGTTTGCAGCAAAGCTGAACATAAGGTATATGTATTTCTTATATGACCCTTACCCCCGCACACTCATAGCTTCCCCCACTATCAAAATTCTATACCAGGGAGGAATATTTGTTAAAATCAGTGAGCTTACACCAATACATCATTATCACTTAAAGTCCACAATTTACACTAGGATTCACTCAATGTTTTTACATTTCAGGAGTGGTCACAAATGTATAATGTATTTAATCATTTTGGTACCATAAGGAGTATTGTCATTGCATTAAAAATTCTCTGCACTCCTTCCATTCATCCTCCTCGCCTTCTACCCCTGATAGCCACTGAATTCTTCCTGCCTCCTTAGTTGTGTCTTTTCCAGAAATCATATACTTGGACTCACACTATGTGGCCTGTTCAGATTGTTCCCCACCCCCCCCCCCCCCCCCCCCGCAGAAAACATCCATTTAGGTTTCCTGGATGTCTTTCACGTCTTCACAGATCGTTTTTTGGTTTTTTTGGGTTTTTTTGTTTTTTAGCCCTGGATAATACCCCATTTTCTAGATGTACCACAGTTCATGTACGCATTCACCTACTGAACAACATCTTACTCGCTTCCAAGTCCTGGCAGTTATGAAAAAAGCTGGTATAAACATTCACGTGTAGGTTTTTGTGTGGACCTAAGTTTTGCACTCATTTCAGTAAATACAAAGAAGTGCAATTCTTAGATTAAATGGTAGGAGTATGCTTAGTTTTATAGGGAAACTGTCAAATGATCTTTCCAAGTGAATGTGCTGTTCTGTATGTTCACCAGGAATGCTCCATAGCATCACCAGCATTAGGTCCTGGCATGCTAAATTTGAACCACTCTAATAGATGTGCAGTGATATTTCAATACATTAATTTGCATTTACCTAATGACTTAGAATGTGGAGCATCTTTTCATATGCTTATTTGCCATGTGTGTATTTTCTTTGGTGAGATCCCTATTGAGGTCTTTACTTTTTGAGTTGTTTTTTTTCGTTGTTGAGTTTTAATAGTTTTTTTTTTTTTTTTAATGTTCTGGATAAGAGTCCTGTATCACATGTGTCTTTTACAGATCTATTCTCCCACCTTTTGATTTGTCTTCTCATTTTTTAAAATTGACCTTGACAGAGCACAAGTTTTTATTTTTAATTAAGTCCAGTTTATCAATTCTTTTGTAGATTATGTCTTTGAAGTTGAATCTAAAAAGGTAACCCCAAACTCAAGGTCATCTAACTTTTCTCCTCTCTCCCAGGAGTTTTACAGTTTTGTGTTTTACACTCAGGCTATGATCCCTTCTTAACTTTTGTGGAAGGTGAAAATTATATCTAGATTCATTTTTTTATGTGTACTTTTAGCTGTTGCAAAACCATTTATTGAAAAGACTACCTTTGTTCCATTGTATTTCCTTTCCTCTTTTGACCAAAATCAGCCATTTATATGGTCTATTTTCAGGGCTCTATATTCTGTTGCACTGATTGGTTTGTCTGTTTTTCCAGCAGTACCAAGCAGTCTTGATTACTATAGCTTTACAGTAAGTCATGAGATCGAATAGTGTCAGTTCTCCAACCTTACTCTTCTTCAATATTGCATTGGCTGTTCTGGGTCTTTTGCCTCTCTATATAAACTCT